TGTCCATTGGACAGGCATGAAATCCAGTAGCTATGAAGTTATGACCCACAGGGGGTGCTGGGGAGATGACACAGGGAGGGGAGACACAGCCCCCACTTGGGGGAAGCCTAGAGTCCAGTGGGGAAGGTAGATGTTAAGTAACGATGACACGAGTAATTATTTAACAGCAGTGCTTGGCCAGGCAGCATCCAAAGGAAATAACAATAAATGTAAATGGGACAATTTTCAAACACTTCTTGGTGCTTTACAGAGCATGATTTCCACAGATCCCCAACACCCCCCAGGGGCACGTCCTATGATGGGGTCTGTCTGGAAAGTTGAAAACTTTCCAGAGGCTTAGGGTGGTGCCTCAAACCCAGGCTGGCCTGACAGCAGTTGTGGGGGGAGAGCCTATCCTCATCTGGGCTTCCTGGGCTGCGGCGGCTCACAGGGACCCCAGGCCGATGGCCCCAGCCCTCCAGCTTGTATGCCCTGTCCACTTCGCCTACAGGTGCTCTTCCTACAATGGCAGGAGACTTGGTGCACCAATGCCAGCTTCGTGCTCAATGGGGATGATGACGTCTTCGCACACACTGACAACATGGTGTCCTACCTGCAGGACCACGATCCTGACCATCACCTCTTTGTGGGGCAGCTGATCCGCAATGTGGGCCCCATCCGGGTTCCCTGGAGCAAGTACTATGTGCCAAAGGAGGTGACCCAGGAGGAGCACTACCCGCCCTACTGTGGCGGGGGTGGCTTCCTACTGTCCCGTTTCACAGCCACTGCCCTGCGCCGGGCTGCTGTCACACTGGACCTCTTCCCCATTGATGATGTCTTCCTGGGCATGTGCCTGCAGCAGGAGGGCCTGGAGCCCGCCTCCCACAGTGGGATCCGCACAGCCGGCATTCAGGCCCCCTCAGCCCACACGTCCTCCTTCGACCCCTGCCTCTACCGGGAACTGCTGCTTGTTCATCGCTTCTTGCCATATGAGATGCTGCTCATGTGGGATGCGCTGAGCCAGCCCAACCTCGCCTGCGGCAAGAAGTTACAGATCTACTAGGTGGTGTCAGGGCCCCCTAGCCTCTAGGCTCTGATCTCCACCCCCATGGAAAGGGGCAGCATCTTCCTCCCTGGCAGGGGAAATCTTCATTCCTCTAAGCAGGTCAGGCATAGGGGAGTGCCAGGAAGGGTTTGATGAGTGCCTAGTCTAGCTGGCAAACTCCTAGATATCTTTCCAAACCCACATGGTACTTGAACCCATGTTTCATCATCCTCCCTAGGCTCTCTGCTGAACGGACCGTCTCTTTCTGTGGGAGCTAATTGCAGAAGCCCCTCTCCTAGGGTTCTGGGTTGCTGCTCCTGCATCGACCCCCTCTGAGTCAAGGTCACATTTCCCAGCTCTGACCTTGATCACAGGCTGGACCTTAAAGGCTGACCAGCCCCTCCTTGGTCATACACCTAGAGTGGTTTAGTGGTATGTGAGTTCCAGCCATGGTTCAAGGTCAGTGGCAGGACTCCTAGTTGAAGTGAGCTTAGGAAAGGAGTTTTGTTCTCAGCCTCTCCATGGTCTCCATCCACCCGAGATGGTGGAAGCGGTCAGAGAAGCCATGAGTGGGACCGCCCCATCCCTGCCTGTGATATCCAGTGCTCTGATGGCTGATGCATTGGGTAGAGGAGGGAAGAAGCTGTCTGACTCAAGCAAAACCAGCTCCAAGTTTCTGGGAGTCCCTAACAGGGCCCTGTCCCCCCCGCACTTATGCTCCCCAAGAATTCAGGGAATGTTGTGGGGCCAAAGGGTCTTCACTGGGCCCAAGGTCAGCACACACACTCACCCCAGTGCCCAGAGAAGGGAGAGATTCTGGTCCTTGGGTGTCTCTGAGCTCTAGGGACCCAGGACCAGCCTTTACCTCAGTAAGCTAAGCCTTTCAGATTGGGGAGATCCAAGCAAAATGGTGACCACCACCCCCAAAACCCTGCTGGCTCTGGGTGGATGTCTGGGGCCTGGGCTTCCGAGGCATTGGAGTAGTGCTTAGGACGTGGGGACGGGGTGACCCCAGACAGCAGAATGATCGCTGGGAAGTGAGTACTCAGGAAATAAAACGTTTTGTGAAGACCTGAGGTTCTTTTTCTTTTTTTTTAAGATTTTATTTATTTATTTGACAGAGAGAGACACAACGAGATGGGGAACAGAAGCAAAGTGAGTGGGAGAGGGAGAAGCAGGCTTCCCACTGAGCAGGGAGCCCCATGCGGGGCTCGATCTTAGGACCCTGGGATCATGACCTGAGCTGAAGGCAGACGCTTAACCAACTGAGCCACCCAGGCGCCCCTCTTTTCTTTTTTTTAAGTGATCTATAAGTTTTAATTCAGACCAGTCTCTAATCAGTAACTAAGCCTCATTTCCAGTAGAAAATATGCGCCAATAAAAATGGCATGGGTGAAGTAGGGGCTGCAAGGGTTTCTATTGGACAGATCTGCCATCATCCTGCCCCAGCTCACACACCCTCCATGGTTCCCTGTCACCCTCAGATCATGTCCCACCAAGACCTGGTCTCACTGCCAGCTTGGCAGCATGCTCAGGAGAGAGAGGCACAGGGGTGGGACTGCTGCGGGCCGTGAGACAGTGGACCTGCTTTGGCCTCCTGCTTCCAGCAAGGCTCCTTCCAAACACCACCAGCCTCCCCTTCTTCACCAGACTCCTGTCCCACTAGGACTGTGGCTTTACTATCTTCTGTCCCACCTCCTTTCCCTTCTGTAAGTATTTATTGTGTATGTCCTGTATGCTATACCCCTTGCCCTATACTCCTGCTCCCAGCCCCACTGGGATGGCAGATATCCACCTTACAGTGAGAAAACAAACTCATGAACAATCAAATAGTAAGTTATAGAAGTCAATATGAATAGAAGTCAAATGAAGCAATCGGACACACAGTGATGGGAACGAGTATCAGCTGAGAGATCAGAGATCTGGGACTGAGGGGGGACATTAGAGCTTGGGCCTGAAGAAAGAGGACATTACCTTAGGAAGAACTGGGAGAAAGGTGTTCCAGGCAGAAGGCATAGCATGTGCAAAGGCCCTGAGGTGGGATAATGGGGAAGCATTCGAGGTGCAGCGAAGAGGCAGTCATTGGAGCTTGATGAGTAAAGAGGACCTGGAGGGAGGAGAGGCTTGATGTCAGAGGGGCTGGCCACATGGGGACTTGTGGGCTGGGGTGAGGAGAAGGGAGTTATTTTGAGAGTGATGGCACCTTTGGAGCAAGGAAACGACAGGATTGATTTTTGAGTTTTAAGTACCGCTGTTGGAAAGGGAGGTGGAAGCCGAAGCAGCATCCAGGCCAAGGAAGGCGGGCCTGGATGAGATGGGGGCGCTGAGGGGGTTTCTAACATAGGTCTGACCTCATCCTGTCCCTGCTCATCAGGGGCTCCCCATCATCCTCAGGAGAGAGTCCTGCTCGCCTGCTGCAGTGGCTTGAAAAGTACACATCTCCCTGGGACCTTAGAATATGGCTTTATTTGGAAATAGGGTCTTTGCTGGGGTGCTGGGTGGCTCAGTTGATTAAGCGTCTGACTCTTCATTTCAGCTCAGGTCATGGTCTGGGGTGGTAAGATCAAGCCCTGTGTCAGGCTTGGAGCTCAGTGAGGAGTCTGATTGAAATTCTCCCTTTCTGCCCTGTCCCCCCCGCACGCGCTTTCTCTCTCAAATGAATTACATCTTTTTAAAAAGATGTAATTTATTTGACAGAAAGAGCATGAGAGAGGGGAGGGTCAGAGGGAGAAGCCGACTCCCTGCTGAGCAGGGAGCTCAATGCTGGACTCAATCCTGAGACTCCAGGATCCTGACCTGAGCCAAAGGCAGTCGCTTAACCCACTGAGCCACCCAGGCTCTCTCGAATAAATAAATCTTTAAAAAAAGGGAAAAAAGCCCTGGGTGGCTCAGTGGGTTAAGTCTCTGCCTTTGGCTCAGATCATTAGCCCAGGGTCCTGGGATCCAGCCCCGCATCAGGCTCCCTGCTCAGTGGGGATTTGGCTTCTACCCTCTCCTTCTCTCTTGCTGTCTTTCTCCAATAAATAAATAAAGGATTCAAAAGAAAAGAAAGAAATAGGTTCTTTGCAGATACAATTAAGGATTCAGGGGAGATCACTCTGGGTTAGGGTGGGGGGGCCCCAAATCCAATCAGAGTGTTTTGACAAGACACAGAAATGAACACATAGAGACACTGGAAAGAAGGCCATGTGAAGACAGAGACAGAGCTTGGAGTCCTGCATCTAGAAACCAGGGAAGGCCAAAATTGCCAGCAGCCAAAAAAGCCAGGAGAGACCCCAAGCAGATTCAGAGCCTCAGGGAAGGAAACAACCCTGCCCCACCCTGACTTCCGGCTCTGGCTTCCAGAACTGCTAAGGGAAGACAGTTTCATTTTAGGACTCCTGATTTCTGGTAATTGGTGACCGCAGATGTTAGAGAAATAATAATGTTGTCAAATGCTTGGTCATTTTGCCCCGGGAGTCCTAGAATGCAAGTTCCATCACAGGGTGAAGGGAGGGTGAAAATGAGAAAAATGGTCGGAGTTGGATCAGTAAGTGTCCCCTGTGGCTCATTCTGATGTCTGTGTGTCTGCCCACTGTTACGTGGACTTTAAGTGACCTCGAGGTGCCCCCCCCCACATGGGTCTTGACAGACGACCTCAATTCAAATCCTGCACTTGGCCATTCCCTCCCTCTCTGACCTTGGCAAGCAGCTGTCTCCCCCGGCCTCAGTTTCCCCACTTTGTATTTCAATGACTCTCAAGTTGCTATCAAGTTCCTGAAAGGGGTGGTAGGGCCATGGCTGTAGGGGTGGGGCTGAGGGGGATGGGTGGGGACAACCCACGCAAGGGCTGATGCAGCCTTGTCCCTTTTTCTTGAGAAAATGCAAACAGCTGCTTAGGATTCTGCGGGGAGTTTTCTTTATTTACCACTGGGGAGATAGCAAGGGGGGAGAGACACAGATGCAGGGAGGGCGGTGCCTGAGGCTCCTCGGAGCAGAGGAAGTTTGGCCCTGAGTATCTGGCATCTGGGCAAAACCAAGGCTCTTCCAAGCCAGGGTGCAGGTGTCATTTTTCTCGTGGTTGGCCCCTCAGAGGAAGGTGGCCTGGGGGAGGTGGGGAGCACAGCAAGGTAATTGTCACCATCCTCCCAGACAGGGCTTTGTGGTGCTGTGTGGCTTCAGGAGCTCGCTGGACCAGACCCCTCTGGGTCTCTGGATCCTCCGGGGCCACATCCGGGAGGAGGGTTCAGTGCGGACACAGGGTCAGCAGGTCCCCCCGGGTGCAGCCACTGAGGCAGCAGTGGTGGGCAGGGTTGGTGGCAGCTGCCCGCCTGCGGTGGTGATGGCGAGAGCCCTGGGGCAGGGGCTGTGGCATGAGAACCAGCATGGGGTCCCCTTCGGCCACCAGCCTGTGGAGATGTTGTCCTTCCAGCCACTGCAGCAGCTCACCTGGGGACAGAGCAGAATTCAGCGTGGGCAGGGGACCCTAGAGGACCCCTCCCCAATATATGCACACACGTCCCACCAAGTGACCTGCCGAAAGCTCCTCTTGCGCACAAATAGAAAGTGAGCACCTATTAAATGCCTACTGTCTACTGAGCACAGATTAAACTCTCCCATCCAGATGTGTGCACTCTCAACCCACAACCACTCTCAGGTCCCCTGTTGTGCACGTTCTGGCAAGCCCTCTATCACGCAGACGCATAGACACTTCACAAAGCCAGAGACAGCAGGGGTGACATGGGACATATACATGGGCACATGTGTGCAGGCAGTGGGCTCACACATGCACACACAGGCACATACCCTCAGAGCCCTTCCCAGCCCTCCCCCATGCGTGCCTCTGTACCTCCAGGGGCATCTGTGTCACAAAGACGTATGCATATAGGACGCATATCTGTGACACGCAGGCATACACATCCCTTTTCTACTCTCTGTACCAGAACGGGGCGCAGGGTGAGAAGAGTGAGACCTGGCCTCAATGCTCCATTTAAGGGAGTGCCAAAAAACTCAACAATGAAGATTGATCTTATCTTAATGCAATTTTTAAAATCAAAATTAATGCAAAAATTCACGAAGATCAAAATACTGAAATCGTAAAGAAGGCACTTTGAAGACTGCCTCGCTCGCCTCGCACTGATTTCCTGCCCGGCAGGGGACGCATCCTTCGCGCGCTGGCACGCACACCAGCGCTGCCGGCAAGTGGACGCCGGTAGGTGCATGCAAACCCATCCGCCTGCTCCGACGCCCACCAGCGCCACGTGCACCTGCCCCACCTAGAAATCCCAAAGCGCAGTCCTCGCCCGCCCCTCACTCACGCTCGCCGCCAGCCACCCGCCTCCGGTCTTCCGAGGACCAGCGCGGGCCCCCGCACAGCCGCACCAGCGCGCGCACGAAGTGGTGGCCGCACAGCTTCTCCCGCGCTTCCGGAGCGGGCACAGTGCCCAGAGCGAGCGCCAGAGCGGTGCCCAGCAGCACCAGCGCCCAGGTGAGTGGGCGGGACTCCATGGCGGCAGGAGGCCGGCCCCAGCAGGGACCCCTTCTTATAGGCATCCAACCCGGCCCAGCTGAGGACCTTGGATGGGGACAAAGCATTCCGCGGAAAACTCAGGGAGAAGGTCAAGGGCTGGGTGAGTGCTGAGTGCAAGTGTAGTGTGTAAACCCCGCAGTTGGGTTTTCTCTCTCTCTTTTTTTTTTTAAAGCAATCTCTACGCCCCAGGTGGGGCCTGAACTCACGACCGCGAGATCATGTCTTGCATGCTCCAACCACTGAGCCAGGCTTTTTTGTCCTGCCTGACTTAAGCTTTGATGGCTCAGGCATCCTCTTCAAAGATGGCTATCTGGAATAAATCTATTTGCCGCCACCCGGCTAGATAAAGAGCCAGGCGTCCTCCCCGCACTGAGGCTCCCTTGTTTGAGAGGTCCGGGCTGGTTTTAAGAACGGGCCCTTGGGACCACTTGTGTTTTTCCCTTCTGGCTCTTTAAATTCCCACTCCCGTGGTTTAAGGTTAGCACTAAGCAATGAGCCCTGGGAACCGCAGGCCCCCATCCTGGACCCCCATGGAAGCAGAGCCCAACCAGTGACCATGTCCCCGCCCCTTCACTGTGTGGGGGGTGTGATGCCCTGCGGTCCCCAGGTCCTGTCAGAAAGAAACCTTTATTTTTTTCAGTTTCCTGATGGTTGTTGCTGAAGGGGGAGCAACTGCAAGGGCCGGTCCAACCAGACACTGGACACTGGCTGGCTGAGCCCTAACCAGTTCAAGCCCCCTCCCCCCAATTCCAATATTTAAGCCCGACTCCCCATCGTGATGGTGTCTGCAGACCTGCGGGCTCCAGGGGAGCATCACGTAGTGGAAGGGGGGGGGCTCGCAATGGGATTCGTGCTCTCCTAGGAAAGGGGTGTGAGAGAACGCACCCCACCCCCCTCCATATGAGCACAGGGCCAGAAGGCAGCCATCAGGCCCCCGGGGATTCAGGCCACTGAGGCCAGGGAAGGGAGCTGCATGCCAACCAGCTCAGAACATTAAATTCACACCATGTCTGAAATCCACCAATAAAGAATGAGCCGGGGGAAGCCAAGCCCCCTCACCAGACCCCAATAAAAGCAAAGCCCCAAGCCCTGAGTTGGCTCCCTGTTTCCACCAATGACCTCAATGTATAGCCCTAGGTCGGCTGTGTGACTCTTGTAAGTAATTAACCTTTACTTTTCTAGCGTTTCCTGATGGGTGGTGCTGAAGGGGATCTTGCAATCATATAAGAACCACAAACAGTGGTTTTAACCTCAACACTGGTTATTGAGAGGCTGACCTGTCTCTCTGCCTGGGTCAGGGCCTTGGATGCCTCCCCCAGGGGAGCACCGGCTCAGGAGTCTTTTCAGCAACAACAGCCACTTTAGAGAGGGGGACTAGGTGACCAGAGAATGGTTCCACATGGTGGTGGTCGGGCAGCCAGCCATCTGAGACCAGGGGCAGTCAGAATCTTGTTGTCCTTATTCCTGTGCCAATAAGGAAACAGCCTCAGAGAGGGATCACCACGTTTGCCCATGGTCACAGGAGGCTGGGGCTGGCTCTGTCTCTCCCATATTGGGGTCTCCTTGGATGGGGCAGGGACTGGAGGGCCCAGAAGGCAGCTGGCTGTGTTTGCTCATTATGACTTTGGTTTACCAAGGAGGGAAACTAGAGTGGAGAGAAAGGAGGACACTCCACCGAGGCAAGGGAGAACCTGAGCTAAAAACCCTCTTGAGCCCAGAGCAGCCCCCTCCTGCTTTTCACCAAAGCAGGTGGCTTTCCCTGCGCTAAGAGAGTAGTGGAGAGGGAGGGAGACTGTCTCTCTCCTGCCCTGTCTCTCCCTCTCAGTCTCTCTTGGTCTTTGTCTTTCTGTTACTCTTCGTATCTGTCCAGCCATCCTGGGAGAGACTTGCTTGGCCCCCACTGATGTTGGACCCCTCCCCACAGCCCCCCCCCCCCACCCTCCCCCCCCCCCCCCCCCCCCCAGAGCAGCCTGTTCCTTCCACCCACCAAGAGCCTGTAATCAGTTCCTTAGGACAGAGCCAAGGCCAGCAGATGGAGCTGGGGGTGGGTTCTGTCCTCCAGGACTGCAGCCAATGCTCCACCGTGTCTTTCCTCCCTCAGCCAGCCCTGAGGCCTCCAATGTGGCCCCCAGGGGATCTCCATCCCCCAGCCCTAGCCACATTCCTGCCCAGCTTATACACTCCCCAAAATTCCCCATCACCCAAGTCCAGCAACACACTATTCTTTCCACTGGACTTTATTCATTCTGTGAATGCTCCCAGAGTCCCCTTTGTGCCCGTCCCAGCCCAGCCCCCTGGGAGCCTCCAGGTCAGAGGAGACAGATCTGGACAGAGACCCCCAGCCTTCCGGTCAGAGGGAAGTAGAGGGTGGGTGAGGAGTGGCAGAGTATGTCACAGGAAAGGCTGCCAGGAGGTGACAGCTGGGATTTTGAGAGGTAAATAAGAATTTTCCAGGGGGTAAAAGTGGCAGAAAAGATTGCAGGCAGGTGAGGAGTTGGGGATAGGGCGGCTTAACCTCCACCAGATGCCTTCTCACAATCCTCCAGAAGCTACCTTTGTACAGGAAGAGACCAGGACCATTTATCGGCCCATTGTATAGGGGGTGAAACTGAGACACCCGTAGGGGAGGCAAGGTGCCCACTATCACATGGCAATTAAGTGGCAGAACCATGGGCTCCAACACCTGGGCTCTTAACTTCTGTACTCCAAGCCTCCTCACTCTCACCATGCTGTTCCCTCTGCCAAAAATGCCTTTCCTTTCCTCATCTGCTGAAAAGCTCCAGTAAGTCTCCAGCGTCATCAACTGTGTGACCCTCCGGTTAGGACAGAAAGGGTCCCAGTGTTCAAGTGGGCAAAGGGAAGGCCCAGGACACTCTGGTACAGTTAGGGTGGACTGGGACCCCAGCCTCTCCTGGCCCCTCACACGATCCCAAAAAGTCACACAGGCTCCCCTCCCCCCCGCCCAAAGTGAATTTCCAACCCTGGCAGCTGCTTTTTTCTGGGGCTCCCTCCAGCAAAAGAGGGATGCGAGGGGCGGGGGGGAGGAACAGAAGGCTGAGATCGTATATTTAAAGCTCTGCAAGGTGTTCACTGAGACAGGAAGCTCAGGGCCAAACCCTGTGAGGATAGGCAGATAGGAGGGGCTTAAATTTGGCTCCTGGATTCTGGGGGCGAGGTACACAGCAGGTCCCACCAAGGCATTCATCTTGAATCTTTGCAAGTTCCCGAGGCCACAAGACTACTGCTGCCCCACAAACCAGGGGTGCCCCTCAAATGCAACGTCATTTGCCCCACGGGGGTCTCTGTGAAGCAGAAAGCCCAGAGAGGGGCAACCTTCTGCCCCAGGTCACACAGCCAGTCCACAAAGACTAGAACCCAGAGGTGTGTGCGCAGGAGATATAAAAATGAAGTGAGTGGGTTTTCTCCTCTGGACAAGCAGTGAAGTCGTGAGTTTCACACTCTCTGCTACCCCCGGCTTGCACTCCATAGTGCATCCAGCTGAGGGCCCAAGGCACTGAATGTTGGTCGGTCTTTCGGGCTAGGGGCCCAGCACAGCTTCATGAGCTCATGAACCTGAGGGAGTGGGAGGAGACAACAGGGTCACATATGAGCCGTAGGAAGGACTCCTATTCACAGTTTCAAAATATAAATTAGATTCCATCCCTCCCCTGCTCCAAAGCCTCCCATGGCTTCCTACAGGTCTTAGAACAAAATCTCATGCCCTCCCGTCTCCTTCCATCACCTCCTCTCTTGTTCCCTGCAGCCACATCTGCCCACATCTCATTATTTAAATGCATCAAACTCATTCCCTCCTCAGGGCCTTTGCACATGCTGTGTCCACTGCTGAGAATGCCCTCTCCCAGCTTTTCTCATGGGTAGGCTCCTCCTCCTCCTTCAAGATTACTCCCTCTAAAAGGTCCCCCTGACCACCACCTCACCCCCTCATTTCCTCCTGTTCAACTCTTCCTAGACACCAGTAACCACCAGAATGTTCTTCTTAGTCTCTGCTGGTTACCAGGAGGGCAGGGTAGTTTCTGTTCTGTCCCCTGCTGGGTCCCCAGCACCCAGCCCAGAGCGCAGCACACAGTCAGTACTCAATAAACGTTTGTGGTCTGGGCAGGTGAATTTATTGATTGATTGATTTTTAAAGATTTTATTTGAGAGAGAGAGAGAGAGCACATAGGGGTAGGAGGGAGAGGGAGAGAGAATCTCGGGCAAACTCTGCCCCAAGTGCAGAGCCTGACATAGGGCTTGATCTCACCACCCTGAGATCATGACCTGAGCAGAAACCAAGGGTCTGTCGCTTAACTGACTGAGCCACTCAGGTGCCCCTGGGCAGATCAATTTATGAATGACCAACCTCATGTCAGACATTTCCACAGAAGTTGTGAAGATAAACTGTAAAAGTCATTAACATTTACAAAGTTGACAGCTGGACCCTAAGCTGAGCAAGGGAGAGGGGTCAACTTGTCTAAACTTCCACCACCCCATAAGGCATTGTTGTTCCCATTCTGGAGATGGGCAAACTGAGGGTCTGAAAGTGTTTGTGACTTGCAATACAGGGAGAGAACAGCAAAATAGAAGCCAAAATCCCTTTCAAATTCATGCCCCAGGGTATGCTCTCAATCAAGAAATAACAGCAGGCGGGGGAAACCCAAAGGGACCAGCTGGCTTCCCTAGGAAGATCCAGAGGGGGAAACTGAGGCAGGCCCTCCAGCACTCACCTCACCAGGGCAGGCAGCAGGTGCCGGCAGCCTCTGGCCCTCAGCCAGAAGCTCCAGGAGGCAGCAGAGGGGTGGGACATCTCGATCACATCCCATCATCCCCATCATCCGAAGGAACTCCTGGGGCCAAGAGGGAGCACCCATGGTGGGGGAGGCGCCATCCATGAAGGAGGGAGAAGGGGCGGCCAGTGATTGGGGAGGGGGTAGAGGAGGCAGGGCAGGGGACAGGCATAGTGAAGGGAGAGAGAGTCAGGCGCGGTGGGGAGAGGGGCCATC